ACGCGTCTGCTTCCGCCGTGCGAAGGGCCGCGCTACGAGAGAAGCGTCCGAGCGACCGTGCGAAACACTAACTGCAGGTAACAAGGAAAACGGTCAGAACCATAAGATTATAAAGCGAAACGGAAAACAACAATAAGCAAGAAAACACGATGACGAAAAAGAGAAGTGCCGCCATGAGACGACGCGTCGCCGAGAGCCGCATGAAGCGCCGCGCGACGGGAGAAGCGTCGCCAACCGCCGAGCGACGGGAGAAGCGTCGCCAATCGCCGTGACGTCGCCGAGAACCGCGACAATAGCCGCTCCACGGAGGAAGAAACGTCGCGAATCGCCGTGAGAATCTTCAAAACAGGCCGCTTTACTAACTGCAGGTAACAACGACCATGGTCAGAACCGAATGATAAAAAAGCGAAACAGAAACGATGACCGAAAAAAAAAAAACGAGAAAAAAACGACGACGAAAAGAGAAGTGCCGCCATGCGACGAGACTCGTCGCCGAGAGCCGCACGAAGCGCCGCGGCGGGAGAAGCGTCGCCAAGCGCCGAGCGAAGCGCCGCGCCAATCGCCGTGCGGTGGGGGAGGCGTCGCCGAGAGCCTCGCGCTCCACGGAGGAAGAAACGCCGCGATTCGCCGTGTGAAGCTCCAAAACAGGCCGCTTTACTAACCGCAGGTAACAACGACCACGGTTAGAACCGAATGAGAAAAAAATGAAACTGAAAACAGCAAAAACGAGAGAAAAACGATGACAAAAAAGAGAAGTGCCGCCATCAAGCGACGGGACGCGTCGCCGAGAGCCGCACGAAGCGCCGCGCAACGGGAGAAGCGTCGCCAACCGCCGAGCGACGGGCGAAGCGTCGCCAAGCGCCATGCGACCGCACCACGGAAGCGACGCCAATCGCGGTGTGAAGCTCCAACAACGGGCCGCTTTCTCTTACTGCATATAACAACGAACAAGGTTAGCAACTTGGATCTAAAGCGAGGATCATTAAAGCGACGAAAAACAATAAAGCTGGTGCCTTACCAAGTTGAAACCGAAGCTCCACTAGCGATGGTCAAACCATCAGGTTGCCATCGGCGCCGCCGCGTGAAGCGCCAAGTCGCAATACGTGAGCGAGAAGAGAGTAACATTGAACTTACCGAGATGAGCTGAAGCGAGGTGACGACGTTAAAGCGAGAAGGAAAGAGATCTTTTGAACTTACCTCCGCGAGAGTCTTGATTGAAGATACACGGGAGGACATTGAAGCCCACACGGGAGGACATTGAAGGCCACACGGGAGGATTTGATTGAAGCCCACACGGGAGGACATTGAAGGCCACACGGGAGGAGATTGAAGCCTACACGGGAAAAGATTGAAGCCCACACGGGGTGAGATTGAAGCCCACACGGGAGGATTCTTGATTGAAGCCCACACGGGAGGACATTGAAGGCCACACGGGAGGATTCTTGATTGAAGCCCACACGGGAGGACATTGAAGGCCACACGGGAGGACATTGAAGGCCACACGGGAGGACATTGAAGGCCACACGGGAGGATTCTTGATTGAAGCCCACACGGGAGGATTCTTGATTGAAGCCCACACGGGAGGACATTGAAGGCCACACGGGAGGATTCTTGATTGAAGCCCACACGGGAGGACATTGAAGGCAACACGGGAGGACATTGAAGCCCACACGGGAGGACATTGAAGCCCACACGGGATTGAAGACCACAAAGGAGGATTTTAACGGGAGTTCTCGCGGAGACCATGCCGCGAGAACCTCGGCGTCGTACAAGGATCAGCTCGAGGCAGCGCAGCTTTTACGTCTCTCTAAACTACCCAACCCATCCCACCCAGCTGCAGCACGCCAAGTGCTTCCTCTTGTACGAGCCGGTTTGGCTTCATTCATCACAAACTGCTCAGTGGAGCTTCTAGCTAAAATTCCGTATGCGGGTTCTTCTGAAGGTCCTTCAAATGGAATCGCGAAGGAAACAAAATGGAATGTACTTCATTGATTGTACTTGTAATTTTCTCCAATCGGAGGTATGGGACGCTCGCTGTGAGCACAATGCCTGCGGGAGACAAGAGGAGGCTGTTCCAGGTGCTCCAGACCCAGGGTATCGAGTCAGGCAGAAGATCAAGCAGCGATGAATTCGACGAGCATGGTGTGAATTCGACGAGCATGGTGTTTGGCGCAGGCCGCCCCGCGCGGCAGAAGCGCGCCTTCAGTTCGAAAAGTGATGTGCTGCTGGGTGCAGTGGGGTGCGACACGGCAGCTCTTTCTGTGTGAAGTGCGGGAAGGGCTCGCATTGGTTGGTTTTGTATAATTGATGCGCTGGATTCCCACCGCCTCCATCAACGGTGAAGATGGTTTCGAGGTGTGGATAGGGCCGCTACTGTATGGTGGAGATTTTTCCGAGGAGTGATCGCTACTGCCGTGAATCATGACTCGTGGGGCCCGCATGGATTGTGTCAGCGGGAATGCCGGGAAATCTTGACGGCGGCTGCAGTGTGTACAGTACACAACATTTCCAAACTCCGTTGCAATACGATCTGAACACTACAATGTTCAGTTGAGAATTCTGTTCAGTTTGGTTTGCATTGTTTTGCTGCAAACGAGTTTTCTTGGGGCGCGTATCGCAGGTGGATGGTTCGGTGTGCAACCCAGGTTTGGAGCTGGGGCAGGCACGAGGCTTTTAGGAGGAAACTGACGTGGCACGCTCTAGTAAAAAGGAACCATGAGCTTTATTTAGCGAGGCCCGCGTGAGGCGCGGGATTGTGTAGTGTAGAACGGGGTGGAAAAAAAGTTTGGCTGGAAACTTCTCGAAGTTTAGCTGCTCTCGGAATTCCCTTTGCTGCCTGTGAACCAGGTTCGGGCAGCTGAATTAGCGAGGGGTGGTTGAGAGATAAAGTCACTCGAGCCAATAAAAATCGAGAGTGTTTCGGTCAGCATCGAACAACCACCACGGCATTTCCCACCACCACCTCGCACCTATTTCCAGTTGAGCGATGCACTAGTCTTTCCGTTACCTCCATGCGTTTCTCCTTAGTAGATCTAGACGCGCCATCGTCGCCTCTTGGCGTAACACTTAAGAAAGTGTCAGCCCCCGATATCCTGCGTAGTTTCATATTAGTCGATTTACGTAATGAAGAAGTTCCGCCATCATCAAATCCGAGTGAAATAGGTACCGCTAGTTGCGCGCTTCTGATGTGCATAAGCAAGCCAGTAGTCGCACCATTTTTCCGGACTTACTCAGTGCGGCTGGGATGGTAACGTTAGATTTCGGACGGATTAGTCACATCGATTTGCGGACACATTAGCCGTGTCGACTTGTGGACACATTTCGGACGGATTAGTTAACATCGATCTGGCGGCCACCGTCGATTTACGGACAATTTTGATACGGGCGCATTAGTAGCTTCGGGTCGATGCTGCCGACGATTCGATGACGTTAGGTAAGTCGAACCCGCAGGCGGATGCAGGTCGCAAGGCGATTCGATGACGTTAAGCGTCAATCGCAGTGATTAAGCGGATGAAGGTGAGAGGTTGAAAAGGGGTCCGCTACCTGGCAAGTTGGTAGAAAGGTGAAAAGTGGAGATGTAAGGGGGGTGGGGTGGGGGGTGCGAGTGGGGGAAGGGGGGATGGGGAGGGAGGAGAGGGGGTGGGTGGGTAGAGATAAGGAGGGGGGATGGGGTGCGGTTGGGTGGGGGGAACACTCCGCATCTCCTCCTGCTCTTCCCTCATGTCCCCCCGCTTTCCTCTCTCCCCCTCCTGCTTCTCCTTCATCTCTCCCTGCTCGTTCCGCGCTCCTTCCTCGTCTTTGTACCCCCTCCTCTCCCCTCCCTCCCCATTCCCCTCAATTTCCCCCGCTCTACCCTCATTCCCCTTGTCAATTATCCCACTTTATCCCCCGCTCTCCCTTCTTCTCGTCTCCCCCACCTCTCATTCCCCCCAACCTGCCCCTCATTTCTGTTCGGATTTCCTGTCATCCCCGCCCGATTCCCTCCTCCTCGCTCCCCCCCTCAGCCTCCGCTCCTTTCCCACTCACGCCCCATATTCCCTCACCCACCCTCCATCCCCCTTCATCTCCACCCCCCTCACCCCCCATATTTCACCCCACTCCCCCTCTTCCCTGTTCCACCAACTTATTTCGCACCTTCCCCACACTTTCCAGTTCTGTTCCCCTGCCTTACGTCTCTCTCACGTTTCACATTCTCCCTTATACATTGCCTCCCATCTTCCCTCAACTATCCACCCTCTACCTTTCATACCCACGCTCCTCCTGGCCTTATGTAGCTGACTCTGTCTTGTCCTTATGTCTTTGTGTCGCTTGCCTTTGCAGGCAAGGAGGCATGGCAACTCTTTCCCTCAACCTCAACCATGCCCCCATCTTTCCTCAACCTCCCTCCTCTACCTTTCCTACTCAGGCCGTTACTAGCCTACCCAACTGACTCTGTGATTTAGCTTTGTGGCTTCGTGTGGCCCGCCTTTGTAAACCGTCTTTGTGGCTTGTCTTTGCAGGCCAGGAGGCCATGCGACGCGATGCGATGCGAGCGACACCTTTTTGACTTTTGAGTCGACTCAAAAGTCTTCGTGGCTTGTCTTTGCAGGCCAGGATGCGAGGCGATGCGATGCGAGCAACTACTTTTGCATGTTAGTTTACGGTATTACTTTGTCAAGGCATTGGAACCCTGCATGTAATGTATGACTGCCAGCCAGCCCATATTGCTGTACTTTATGTATGAGTTGCCCTGTTCCGTTCTGATCTTCTGTATCGAGCACAAAGCAGCATATCATGTGGAATTACCGTAGTGCATACCAACAGTATGGTACCATTCAGACTTTTAGAACTCTCACAAGTGATTTCAACCTGCATGTACAATCTTTGGACCTACATTCAATCTTTATACAGCCAACAGATGCATATGTACCATTCTAAGCTACAAGACAGCATCATGCATGAGGCACCTCAAACAAAATACTACGTTTGATGCGCCTCAAAACATGAACATTGCGCAGCAGTCAGCAGTGGGATGGCTGCAGGCGCACGGAAATCCCCATGGCCCTCATTTCTTCAAACAGCAGTTTCAAAGAATACGGCATGCACACCTGTGGGAATGGAGGCCAGCGGAAGGGGGAAAAGGATGGAAGGAAAACACTCAATCGATACATAATAAATGGTATGCAATACAACCCCATGGGCTTCAACTCATCAACAAAAGTTTCAAGGCACACCTAAGGAGGGGGGAGGGTGGGGGAAAGGGGGTGAAGGATGGAAGGAAAACACGCAATGAATACATAAGAACTGGTATGCAATACAACCCCATGGATGAGCACATGCCATGATGCCTCAACTGATTCTACAGTAGCTTCATGGCATAGGCCTCTGTGGGCTTTTAAGGCGCCTCAAAAGTGGCCTCATGGGTGATGTGTAGCACCACAGAGGCCTCATGGGTCATGTGCAGCACCACAGAGGCCTGTGTAGTTCTTCACATGACTGGCACACTCCAACACGCGCACATGTGACATGCTGCTACATCACATGGCAAACCTCTGTGGTGGCTTTGCGACGCCTCACAAGTCACTTGGCAACACCTCTGTGGTGCTTGTGCTGCTTCCACACGACCGGCACACATGGCCATGGCGATCACTCCCCTCTCCTCCAAAACCACCAAAACCACCAACACCATCATCAGCAGCAGCACCGCACACGTACAAGCATACCTCTGTGGTGTTTGTGCTGCTTCCACACGACTGGCACACAGAGCCGTGACGACCACTCCCCTCTCCTCCAAAACCACCGAAACCACCAGCAGCAGCAGTAGCACCAGCAGCGCCGTACACGCCATCACCACCAGCCCCAAGTCCTCCCCCCGAGGCACCGGCCGCAGAGGCAATGAGACAGCAGGCAGAGCAGACGGCAACAGCGGTGGCGTCTGAGAGGAGGGAGAGGCGCTCTGAGAGGGAGTGTGCTGCCCCGTGTGCCACCAGGCAGTCCCTCTCCATCTCCCCCACCCGCATGCCCCCCTGCTGCGCCCTGCCCTTAGTTGGCTGTCTGGTTGTCGCCTGTTGGGTGTTGGGGAGGATAATGAAGGATGGGATGTGATGAAAGCGAAGGGAGGTTGGTAGATGAATGATGCATGCTCCCTGCCCCGTGTGCCACCAGGCAGTCCCTCTCCATCTCCCCCACCCGCATGCCCCCCTGCTGCGCCCTGCCTTTAGGGGGCTGGCGAGTTGTTATCTGAAACATGTAGGCGGATGGGCGGGTAGGGTAGGAGGGGGAACAGGTAGGTGCATGCTCCCTGCTCCAAGTGCCACCAGGCAGTCTCTTTCCATCTCCCCCACCCGCATGCCCCCCTGCTGCGCCCTGCCTTTAGGCGGCTGCCTGGTGTTCATCTGTAACGAGGGGATAGTGAGGGATGGGATGCGGTGAGAGTGGGTAGACGCATGCTCCCTGCCCCGTGTGTCACCAGGCAGTCCCTTTCCATCTCCCCCACCCGCACGCTCTCCTGCTGCGCCCTGCCTTTAGTGGGCTGGCGGGTGGTCATCTGTGGGCAAGTGGGGGGTGGAGTGAGAGGGAAAGGAAGCGGAGGGTGTGTGAGAGGAGCAGGAGCAAGTGGGAGCAACAGGAGAGGAGGCAGACCGAGCAGGCAGAGCAGACAGCAAGGGAGGTGGCTCGGAGCGGAGCGAGAGGCGCTCAGCACTGCACGGCACCGCACATCACCACACATCACCACACATCACCGCACGGCACCGCACCTCACCTGCTTGGTACCGATAGCCCGTGTGGCTCTCTTGTCGGCTGCTAGGTGCTTCAGACGCAGGTAGTGAGTGGGACCCACAAACACCCTCCCTTCCATCTCCTGCCCCGTCACCCCACAGTATGCAATGTCTTTGCCCAAGTCAAGGGGTGAATAGCCACAACTGGTGGCAGGGATGGGGAGAGGACGGGAGCAGAGGAGAGAGAAGGAGAGGGGATGAGAGGAAAGGTAACACGTGGGTCCCACAAACACCCTCCCTTCGATCTCCCGTCCCGTCAACCCACAATATGCAACGTCCTTGCCTAATTCCATAGCGGAGTAGCCGCAACTGGTAGGAAGAAGCTGGGAGTTGGAGGGGAGTTCGAGAGGGTGAGGAGAGGAGGGGAGAAGGCAGGGTAGGGCAGGTAGTGAGTGGGACCCACAAACACCCTCCCTTCCATCTCCCGCCCTGTCACCCCACAGTATGCAATGTCTTTGCCCAAGTCAAGGGTTGAGTAGCCGCAACTGGTAGGACGGGAAGGGGGGGGATAAAGCAGGTATCAAGACCTCTCGCCCTGTCCACCCTTATTTGGGTGAGGTGGTATGTGCAGTGAATATGGGGGGAAAACGGGGGAGAACTGGGGAGAACGGGGGAGAACAGCATCAAGAGGTGCGTGGCGGTGGGAATGGGTGGAGTGGGGTGGGGTGGGATGGGAAGGTGGGCTTCACGGTATCAGTGCAAAGGCGAAGTAGTGAGTAGCCGCAACTGGTTTCAGAGAAGGGCAGCGAGTATAGAGCATGGGAGGGAGGGAATACCTCCGTAGCTGGTTCTGTGCTTCAGACAGAAGGTCCGAGCCCCAGAGGTCAGAAGAGGAAGCGGAGAGCAAGAGGAGGAGGGGAGTGTGTAAGAGGAGGCAGGCAGAGGAAAGGGGGACAAGGTGAGTGTACCTGCGCAATCGATGCTGTGCTTCAGACAGAAGGCCCGAGCCCCAGAGGTCAGAGGAGCAGGCGGAGAAGGAGGGAAAGTGTGTAAGGGGAGGCAGGCAGGGAAGGAAGAGGCAAGGCGAGAGTATACCTGCGCAGGCGATGCTGTGCTTCAGATAGAAGGTCCAAGCCCCAGAGGTCAGCTCAGCGGTTGGAAGTGGAGGAGGGGGGTGTGCAAGCAGACAGAGAAGGAGGGGAGGCAGGCAGGGAAGAAAGGGGCAAGGCGAGAGTATACCTGCGCAATCGATGCTGTGCTTCAGACAGAAGGTCCGATCCCCAGAGGTCCGAGGAGCAGGCGGAGAATGAAGAGAGGCTTTTATCGCTGCTTGTCTCTTGCACGGTGGAGCATGCCACCTGTGCATGGATGGATAGACAGTAGACGACAGAGGGTGGAGGGCTCGAGTGGGTAATATTGATTGGGTGTGCAGCATGAGAGTCTCATGTGGGTACCGGTTTGGGTACCCAGTTGAGGTGACTTTTGAGTCGACTCAAAACGAGGTGACTTTTGAGTCGACTCAAAAAGTGTCGTGTGCCATTGTAACGAGGTGACTTTTGAGTCGACTCATAAGTCACCTTGGTAATATTGATTGTGTGCGCAGCATGAGAGTCTCATGTGGGTACCAATTTGGGTACCCAGTTGAGTCAACAAAAAAGATGCCAACAAGGTGCACAAATAGAGCAAGAGAAGTTTGTAAACCAGATGGGTTGGTGCGTACATACTTTGGCGAAGAGTGTTGCGCATGTGGGTTGATTTGGTACAACCCGTAACAGAGGTCCCAATGATGAGGTGCGTTGCAGTGCGGTGCATTGCGGTGCGAACTGGTGCGGTATGTACCTTGGCGAATAATGCTTCCATGACTTGCCCCAGGGTCATGCGGGAGGGCAGCGCGTGCGGATTGATCACCAGATCTGGTACTACCCCTAGCGGCGCTCCCACTGCTGCTGCTGCTGCACTTGCAATTGCATTTTCACCGGCACCAGCAGCAGCAGCGGCAGCAGCGGCAGAGGGCTTAAGAGAGGAACATATTCTGGCAACGCCGTCGAACCAGGGAAGGTCATGGGAGGGCAGGACGCGGCCGATGACCCCCTTCTGCCCGTGCCGACTCGTGAGCTTGTCGCCCACCTCTGGCCGCAGGGTGGCACGCAGGCGAACCTGGGGAGAAATGGGAAGGGAAGAGAAGGAGCAGCAGCAGAAGAAGAGCAGTTGAGAGACACACCTTCGGCCAATGACGCCCTTCTGCCCATGCCGGCTGGTTAGCTTGTCCCCCACCTCTGGACGGAGCGTGGCACACAGGAGAACCTGAGGAGAAGTGGGAAGGGAAGGGGAGACGGTGAGAGTGAGTGTGAGCAGCAGCAGAAGGAGGGCAGCACGCGACCAATGACTTCCTTCTGCCCGTGCCGGCTCGTCAGCTTGTCCCCCACCTCTGGACGCAGAGTGGCGCGCAGGCGAACCTGGGGATGGAAGGGAGTGGACGAGAGTGTGTGTGCGCGAGGGGGAGGGAAGGGGGATGGGGTGAAAGAGTGGGAGGGCAGCGCGCGGCCAATGACGCCCTTCTGCCCGTGCCGGCTCGTGAGCTTGAGGTATAGTGTAGAGCGGCAAACAGACAGAGCCACACGGGAGTCATACACCACACCACCCAAGCCAACCACACCCTCCCCATCCACACCCCCAGACTCACCCTCCCCAGCCGCACGCCGTGACTGTCCTTGTCCATGTGAGCAGAGTCCACTATGCCGCCTCCCCCCTACACCTGAGACACCATGAGACTTTGCACTTTGAGACCAGTCCAGCCAATCGACTCACCCTTCCCAGTCGCACACCGTGACTGTCCACGTCCATGCGAGCAGCATCCACTATCCCGAGGAAAGGCAATGAGCGGGAGAGAGACGTGAGGTGCGGTGATAAGGAAACCCGCAAGGAAAGGAAGTGACTTACTCTGCCCAGCCGCACGCCGTGAGTGTCCACGTCCATGCGAGCAGCATCCACTATGCTTCCACCCCCTTCCACCCAGCGACTAACTGTCACACCCCCAGACTCGCTCTGTGCGTGAGTGAGCGGAACTCACCCTTCCCAGCCGCACGCCGTGAGTGTCCACGTCCATGCGAGCAGCATCCACTATGCCGCCTCCACCTTCCACCTGAGACACCATCAGATTAGGCACTTTCTCCTCCTCCCCTGTGGCCGTTAATCGGGGCAGCTGGAATGTACGGAACGAGAAGGGAGCGAGCAAGCAGGGAAAGAGGATGTTAATGCAAGTGAGTAGCGTCCACTATCCCGCCTCCCCCCTCCACCTGTGACACCATGAGATTAGGCACTGTCTCTTCCTCCCCTGTGGCCGTTGATCGGGGCAGCTGGAATGAGAAGGGAGGGAACAGACACGGAGAGACACGATGTATATGCAATGGAGCACCCTCAGCCATACCCCCATCCTTCCTCCTTCTTCTGGCACTTGGCCGATGAGAAAGGCTCTCTCCTTCCATCTAAGCACTGCTTGATACTTGAGACGACTCAAATATGCCTAGACTTTAGGCTCTGGATATTCACTCACGCTCACTTAAGCACAAAAATTTGACTCAACCCAGCAGCCACATGGCCAATCAGAATGGTTCTCTCCCTCCCTCCAAACACTGCTCGATGTTTGGGTCAACTCAGTAGACCTTACCCTGGATATGCACTCATCCATCGAAAGCAGAAACGCCTGCAACCCTCTCACTCTCAGACTCACCCCAGCCGCCACATGGCCAATCAGAATGGCTCTCTCCCTCCCTCCAAACACACCTTGATCCGCCACACTCCTCCCCCACACCCCTGCGCTTCCTCCCCCCACGCCCGAGCTACAGTAAACCCTAATCCCTGCCACCTTCTCTCCTGTTGCCCCCTCCATTGCACCTGTCCCCCTTGCCCCTGCTCCCCCAACTCCCTCTCCTGTCCCCCCTCCCCCATCACCCATCCCCTTCCCCCGTCGCCCATCCCCCCTCCCTCGTTACCCATTTCCCCTCCTCCCCCATCGCCTGTTCCTCCCCCCACCACTTCTCCCGGCCACAGCACAGGATGGCCCACTTTCGGAAGCCCATTTTCCCCCAGATGATCATACTGCGACCATCTCTTAGGCCTCTCCCGCCGCTCCCTCTGCTGCTGCTGCTGCTGCTGCTGCTGTTGATCTCGCCCCCTCCCCCTCCCCCTCCCCCTCCCCCCTCCCCCTGCCTCTTTCGCCTCCCCCAAAGCTTCTCCCCTCCCCTTCTCCCCCATCTCCTCCCCCACCTCCCCCCCATCCGCCTCCCCCTCCTCCCCCCCATCGGTTCCCCCCGTCTCTATCTCCCCTGAACCCACGCTCTCCTCCCCCTCCACCTTCCCCTTCTCCACCTTCCCCCCATCCGCCTCCCCCTCCTCCCCCCCATCCACCTCCCTTGATCCGCCTCCCCCCCATCCCCTGTCTCCCCACGAATCGTTTCCCCTCCCCCTTCCCCGTCCCCTCCCGCGACCCCTCCCCCTTCCTCCCCTCCCTCCCCACCCCCTTCCCCCTTGTCCGCCCTCATCTCCCCCGTCATCTCTTCCTCTCCACCCATCCCCACCTCCACTGTCTCCCCTCCACCCTTCCCCACCACCCCCTCCTCCTCCCCACCCGTCCTCTCCATTTCCCTTGTTCCCACCAGTCCCATCACCCTCACTCTGCCCTCTCTCCTTACCCCATCCTCCCCCGCCCCATCCTCCTCCCCCTCCCCCACCTCCTCCCCATCCCCCCTCTCCACCACCTCCTCCCCACCCCCCTCCCGCCCTACTCCCACCAGCCCCAGCAGCAGCGGCATCACCATCAGCACCATCACCCATACCACCCCAACCACCCCCACCATCACCAGCGGCGGCATCACCAGCAGCACCCCAACCACCCCCACCAGCAGCAACGTCACCCCAACCACCCCCACCGGTATCAGCATTACCGGCAGCAGCAGCAGCAGCACCCCAACCACCCCCACCCTCGCCAGCACCATCAGCACCATCACCCGTACCACCCCAACCACCCCCACCAGCACCACCAGCATCAGCAGCGGCAGCATTGCTAGCACCAACCCAACCACCCCCACCAGCAGCGGCATTACCAGCACCAGCAGCAGCAGCAGCATCAGCAGCAGCAGCAGCACCCCAACCACCCCCACCAGCACCGGTACCAGCATTACCGGCACCGGCAGCAGCGTCACCCCAACCACCCCTACCCTCACCTGCACCACCCACACCAGCAGCACCAGCGGCAGCACCCGTACCACCCCAACCACTCCCACGAGCACCACCATTACCATCACTGCCCCAACCACCCCCACCCTCACCAGCACCACCACCACCAGCGGCAGCACCTGTACCACCCCAACCACCCCCACCAGTAGCAGCATTACCAGCACCAGTAGCTTCACCCGCACCACCCCAGCCACCCCCACCAGCACCAGCATTACCAGCACCAGTGGCAGCAGCAGCACCACCCCAACCACCACCACTACCAGCATCACCCGCCGCAGCACCCCAACCACTCCCACCATCATCAGCAGCAGGAGCACCACCCCCACCTTCACCAGCAGCAGCAGCATTACTTGTAGCACCCCAACCACCACCACTGCGACCAGCATCAGCATCAGCAGTCCCCCACCCGCCACTAGTACCACCACCACTACCAGCACCCCACCCTCCTCCCCCTCCTTCTCCCCTTCCTTCCCTTCCTCCCCTTCCTTCCTCTCCTCCCCCTCCCCCCCATCCTCCCTCTCCTTCCCCTCGCCCCCCTCCCTCAATGCCATTCAGCTCACCACCCTCATCCCCCTCCTTGTCACTTGCACCCCACCCCCCTGCTTGTGTTTCTGCTGCTCCTCCCTCTCTTCCTCTATCCTCCTCACCACCACCCCAACCTCCTCCTCCTCCGCCCCCGCTGCCATTCAGCTCACCACCCTCGTTCCCCTCCTTGTCACTTGCACCCCATCCCCCTGCTTCTGCTGTTGCTCCAGCTGTTGCTGCTGCTTCTCCCTCCCTTCCTCTATCCTCCTCATCTCCACCTTTCTCACCCCAACCACCCGCACCACCAGCATCAGCAACACGAGCAGAATCTGCACTATCGTCACCAGCAGCACCCCACCCTCCCCCTCCTCCCCCTCCTCCCTCTCCTCCACTGTCATTCAACCCACCACCCTCGTCCCCTTGCTTGTCACTTGCACCCCATCCCCCTGCTTCTGCTGCTGCTCCAGCTGTTGCTGCTCGTCCTCCCACTCTTCCTGTATCCTCTTCATCACCCCATCCGCCGCCCTCACCAGTACCACCACCCGCACCAGCACCCTCACCACTCCCACCAGCATCACCACCCCAACCATCCCTACGAGCACCAGAATCAGCAGCACCACTCCCCCAACCGCCACCACGACCAGAACCACCACTGTTATCCGCACCAGCGGTAGCAGCTGCAGTACCATCACCATCACACCCACCACCACCACCACCTGCCCCACCTGCTGCTTCACTCCCACCCCACCCACCACCCCCACCCTCTGCCCTCTCACTTCCGCCCCACCCACCATTCCCACCCTCCTCCTTCTCACTCCTCTCACCCCACCCTGCTGCTGCTTCTTCTCCTCCTCCTTCTCCTGCTCCCCCTGACCCTCTTTCCTGCTCCCCCCATGCACCCGCTTGATTCACTGCCACGTCATCATCTTGCTTGACTGCCACGTCATCGTCATCTTGCCACGTGGCATCCTTCTCACCAGCCTGCGCCACTGCCACGTCAGCATCCTCATCATCCTGTGTGAGATCGATTGGCTCTGCCTTGGCGCGAAGGGGTCGTCTCTCCTTTTGTCCCTCTTCTTCGCCCCCTCTCCTCCCCTTCCTCTGCCAACCACCATCACCATCACCACCACTGCCACTACCACTACCACCAACACCAGTACCAGCGCCAGCAGCAGCATCATCATCGCTATCAGTAAGGCCATCTGCATCCCACCCCGCACGCCCAGCCTTTCCTTCAGCCGCCTTTCGAGGCGCCTCAGCAGTCGCAACAGCGGCACCAGCACCACCGCCAGCAGCAGCACCACCACCCTCATTATCGCTATCAGTCAGACCATCCGCATCCCATCCCGCGTGCCCTGCTTTTCCAGAAGCAGCAGCTAATCCCCCTTCTCCCGCTCCTCCCCCTCCTCCCTCTCCTCCCCATCCTCCTCCACCTCCTCCTTCCCCTCCCCCACCTCCTCCTCCCCATCCTCCCGCTCCTCCCCCCGTGCCCGCCTCACCTGTCCCCCCATCCCCTCCCCATCCGGTGCCCCCATCTCCCCCTCCCCTCCCCCTCCCCAACCTCCTCCCGCCTCTCCCCCTCCCCCTCCCCAAGCTCCTTCCGCCTCTCCCCCTCCCCCTCCCCAAGCTCCTCCAGCCTCTCCCCCTCCCCCTCCCCAAGCCCCGCCCCCCCCGTCTCCATCTCCTCCCCAACCCCCTCCGCCCCCTCCTTCCCCATTCCCTCTCCCCCAACCCCCACCACCTCCCCCTTCCACTCCCTTCCCTCCCCATCCATTTGCACCCCCCTCTTCCACCTCCATCTCCCCCGCACCAACTCCCAAACCAGCAGGCTCGGCAGCCCCGGCCCAAGCTGCTCCGGGTCCTCCATCCTGGCTCGGTTTGCCAAACCTCCAGGTCACTTCCGCCTTGTCCCGAGCAGCCTTGCCCTGCCAAGATGCACAAAAAAAGAAAGAAAAAAAAAAAAAGTTGCACAACAGAGAGGAATATTGTCGACGCCAAGGGCCATGATAGAAAGGGAGAGAGAGCGTGAATGCTGCATGGGCGTGCACGAGAAAGTTGACTTAGCGAAGGCAGGGCCACTCGGGTGATAGCTTAGACTAATGCTTCCGCACCCCTTCCCTAGCAGCAAAACCGGCTGTGTTTGAGTTACTTCTGAGAAATTTCAACCGCCCGCCTTGACTTGGCATAAGAAGAAAACCATGCGCAGAAAGCTCAACTCAAGTCACCTCCTCTTCCACGAAGCTTCTGAAGGTGGTGCTGCCGAACAGCCCTCTGTCGACTGACGCCTGGTTGATGATCAACGCATCCTCCTGATGGGTGGTGTGGGGGGAAGAGCAGGTAAAGGACATTTAAGGAGCCTCAAAAGACCTTCTTTAAATGTGGTGCTGCCAAACAGCCCTCTGTCAATCGACGCCTGGTTGATGATCAACGCATCCTCCTGATGGGTGGTGTGGAGGGAAGAGCAGGTAAAGGACATTTAAAGCCCGAGTCCCAAATTGCGGGCCGCGCGGGTCAAGCTTTTAAAACTTGACGAACTAGTGTTTTCAAGGTTTGAAGAAAAGCGTGCCTGCAATTTGGGACTTTTGGGAACTGAACCAACCCCCAGGGCGAAATACGAGGGCGGGCTGGGTTTGGCGAAAAAAACGAAAAAAGCGAAATCGGAATCTTTCGCCAAAACCCTCACCACAAAAACCCCCTCGCGTCAACCTTTTAAAACTTGTGCAATTTGGGCTGCCGGCTTTAAGGAGCCTCAAATGACCTTCTTTAAAGCCAGGGTCTCAAGTAAGCAAAGCAGCCATCAACTGCAAAGCAGTTGAAGATAGGTTACCTTGTTAGTGCAGGCGAATTTCTCTTTGGTTGGGTTGGAAACCTTCTCCCGTCAGTGCCTCAAAAGCAATTGCACAACAAGTTTTGAGTACGTGAGACTTTCGACGAGTCTGGGGCATTTTAGGTTTGGTTCCGAACCAAATTTACAAACCTAGGAGGTTCGGCTACACCTAGCGATTTGGATTCGTTTCGTACCCCTCGCTTCACCCCTCTTCAAACTTCACAACTCGCCAACCAATCACACACAAACTTGCACTGTCGACTGCAAAACACTTGTAGTGCATAAGACCCTGGCTTTAAATGTGGTGCTGCCAAACAGCCCTCTGTCAATCGACGCCTGGTTGATGATCAACGCATCCTCCTGATGAGGTGGGAGAGAGGATAGCAGGATAGGAGAGGGGGGTTGCACCCATGCACGCAGCACATCTACCATCACCGCATCCCACCTGGTTGTATCCAATGTGGATGGAAGAGACGATGGTGCTGGGGCCATGGGGGAAGTCAGCCAGGCCCATGGCTGCACTTATTGCAGCGACAAACATGGCCGCACATATTGCACAGGGAGAAGAGAAACATAGTACGTACACATTGCACCCACTCAACCAACCAGCACAGCATGAAACCGGGTTGAATCCCGCAGCACCGCACTGTACCTGGTTGTATCCAGCACACATCACGGCGACAATGGCGTTCTGCCCATTGGGGAGGTCTGCCAAGCCCGTGGCCAGCTGTGCAATTCTGGAGGCCACGTGGTGTAGAGAGAAATGTGGAGCGAGCACATTGCATCACACCTAATTTAACCCCACAGCACCGCACTGTACCTGATTGTATCCAGCACTCATGATGGCGACGATTGCATTCTGCCCATTGGGGAAGTCTGCCAGGCCCGTGGCTAGCTCTGCGATTTTGGAAGCCATGAGAGGGCGCTGGGGGTAGTGCAAGGAGAAGAGCGTGCGGTCGGAGCGATGGGGGAGGTTGTAGGGTGGCACACCCATGGCCTGTGGAAGAGGAGGGTTGAGGAGAAGGGGAAAAGGGGAGATAGGAAACAAAGGAGGAATCAGGAGGGGCCGCTGGAGGTAGTGCAGAGAGAAAAGGGTGCGGTTGGAGCGATGTGGGAGGTTGTATGGTGGCATGCCCATGGCCTGTTGGGGAGACGGGGGAAAGGTGGGAAAGAGCAAAGAGGAAAAGTGGTATGGGCAGGGGCGGCTAGGGCCTGCAGATAGTGCAAGGCGAAGAGCGTGCGATTGGCGCGATGTGGGAGGTTGTATGATGGCATGCCCATGGCCTGTTGGGGAGACGGGGGAAAGGTGGGAAAGAGCAAAGAGGAAAAGTGGTATGGGCAGGGGCGGCTAGGGCCTGCAGATAGTGCAAGGCGAAGAGCGTGCGATTGGCGCGATGGGGGAGGTTGTATGATGGCATGCCCATGGCCTGTTGGAAAGGATGGGGGAGGTTGTATGATGGCATGCCCATGGCCTGTTGGAAAGGATGGGGGAGGTTGTATGATGGCATGCCCATGGCCTGTTGGAAAGGATGGGGGAGGTTGTATGATGGCATGCCCATGGCCTGTTGGAAAGGATGGGGGAGGTTGTATGATGGCATGCCCATGGCCTGTTGGAAAGGATGGGGGAGGTTGTATGATGGCATGCCCATGGCCTGTTGGAAAGGATGGGGGAGGTTGTATGATGGCATGCCCATGGCCTGTTGGAAAGGATGGGGGAGGTTGTATGATGGCATGCCCATGGCCTGTTGGAAAGGATGGGGGAGGTTGTATGATGGCATGCCCATGGCCTGTTGGAAAGGATGGGGGAGGTTGTATGATGGCATGCCCATGGCCTGTTGGAAAGGATGGGGGAGGTTGTATGATGGCATGCCCATGGCCTGTTGGAAAGGATGGGGGAGGTTGTATGATGGCATGCCCATGGCCTGTTGGAAAGGATGGGGGAGGTTGTATGATGGCATGCCCATGGCCTGTTGGAAAGGATGGGGGAGGTTGTATGATGGCATGCCCATGGCCTGTTGGAAAGGATGGGGGAGGTTGTATGATGGCATGCCCATGGCCTGTTGGAAAGGATGGGGGAGGTTGTATGATGGCATGCCCATGGCCTGTTGGAAAGGATGGGGGAGGTTGTATGATGGCATGCCCATGGCCTGTTGGAAAGGATGGGGGAGGTTGTATGATGGCATGCCCATGGCCTGTTGGAAAGGATGGGGGAGGTTGTATGATGGCATGCCCATGGCCTGTTGGAAAGGATGGGGGAGGTTGTATGATGGCATGCCCATGGCCTGTTGGAAAGGATGGGGGAGGTTGTATGATGGCATGCCCATGGCCTGTTGGAAAGGATGGGGGAGGTTGTATGATGGCATGCCCATGGCCTGTTGGAAAGGATGGGGGAGGTTGTATGATGGCATGCCCATGGCCTGTTGGAAAGGATGGGGGAGGTTGTATGATGGCATGCCCATGGCCTGTTGGAAAGGATGGGGGAGGTTGTATGATGGCATGCCCATGGCCTGTTGGAAAGGATGGGGGAGGTTGTATGATGGCATGCCCATGGCCTGTTGGAAAGGATGGGGGAGGTTGTATGATGGCATGCCCATGGCCTGTTGGAAAGGATGGGGGAGGTTGTATGATGGCATGCCCATGGCCTGTTGGAAAGGATGGGGGAGGTTGTATGATGGCATGCCCATGGCCTGTTGGAAAGGATGGGGGAGGTTGTATGATGGCATGCCCATGGCCTGTTGGAAAGGATGGGGGAGGTTGTATGATGGCATGCCCATGGCCTGTTGGAAAGGATGGGGGAGGTTGTATGATGGCATGCCCATGGCCTGTTGGAAAGGATGGGGGAGGTTGTATGATGGCATGCCCATGGCCTGTTGGAAAGGATGGGGGAGGTTGTATGATGGCATGCCCATGGCCTGTTGGAAAGGATGGGGGAGGTTGTATGATGGCATGCCCATGGCCTGTTGGAAAGGATGGGGGAGGTTGTATGATGGCATGCCCATGGCCTGTTGGAAAGGATGGGGGAGGTTGTATGATGGCATGCCCATGGCCTGTTGGAAAGGATGGGGGAGGTTGTATGATGGCATGCCCATGGCCTGTTGGAAAGGATGGGGGAGGTTGTATGATGGCATGCCCATGGCCTGTTGGAAAGGATGGGGGAGGTTGTATGATGGCATGCCCATGGCCTGTTGGAAAGGATGGGGGAGGTTGTATGATGGCATGCCCATGGCCTGTTGGAAAGGATGGGGGAGGTTGTATGATGGCATGCCCATGGCCTGTTGGAAAGGATGGGGGAGGTTGTATGATGGCATGCCCATGGCCTGTTGGAAAGGATGGGGGAGGTTGTATGATGGCATGCCCATGGCCTGTTGGAAAGGATGGGGGAGGTTGTATGATGGCATGCCCATGGCCTGTTGGAAAGGATGGGGGAGGTTGTATGATGGCATGCCCATGGCCTGTTGGAAAGGATGGGGGAGGTTGTATGATGGCATGCCCATGGCCTGTTGGAAAGGATGGGGGAGGTTGTATGATGGCATGCCCATGGCCTGTTGGAAAGGATGGGGGAGGTTGTATGATGGCATGCCCATGGCCTGTTGGAAAGGATGGGGGAGGTTGTATGATGGCATGCCCATGGCCTGTTGGAAAGGATGGGGGAGGTTGTATGATGGCATGCCCATGGCCTGTTGGAAAGGATGGGGGAGGTTGTATGATGGCATGCCCATGGCCTGTTGGAAAGGATGGGGGAAAGAAGAGGGAGGATAGGAAATTGGATTCGACGATTTTTGAAAGGAGAGTAGCCATTACTTTGCTCCCTCTCTCACCTTTGCTGCGGAGCGGGAAACGCCTTTGTGATTCACAAAAGGGAAAGCCGATGCAATGGCGCCAAACATGAGCTCCGGATGAATGAGCAGATGAGAGAAGGTGAGCAGATGTCTTAGAACACACCTCAAGCATACCTGTTTGAACATGTGAGCAGCCCCAGTGCTGCGAGACACGCCGTTGTGATTCACGAAGGGCAGGGCCGACGCAATCACTCCAAACACGAGCTCAGGATGAATCTCCATGTGCGAGTAACGAGCAGATGCGTTAACACCCGGCGGGTCAAGAAATGACGACAGAGACAGGGTGGAGTCTGGAGACTGCTGCCGAACATTCCGTGCCGCACCACCTATATCCCCCAGGCTTGTTTCGGAGAGCTCCTTCTGCTGCTCAGCAGCCATGTAGGGCTCTGCTGGGGCAGGCTTGCAGTTGGCTGCTTCCTCTGCTGCATCTAGATACTCTGCTGCTCCTGATGCGAGCATGCACTGCCATGCCTGCTCCCAGCTGTGCCTGTTGCTGCTGCTGCTGCTGATGATACTGCTGTTGCTGCTGGTGCTGGTGGTGCTGGGTGGAAGGTCGATGGGCGGCTGTTGCAGCAGCAAGGGGCGGAGGATGCGGCCAGGGGAGGAGGCGAGGTGGAGGGCGTGCAGGGCGGGGTGATAGGCCATGCCGAGCTGACAGGGGGAAGATGGGGTTGGGGAGGGGGGAAGGTGGTGTGGAAAATACAAGAGTCAATGCACGAGGCACCATGGCACAGCACAGGGAGGATGCGACCAGGGGAGGAGGCGAGGTGGAGGGAGTGCAGGGCTGGGTGATAGGCCATGCCGAGCTGACAGGGGGAAGATGGGGTTGGGGAGGGGGGAAGGTGGTGTGGAAAATACAAGAGTCAATGCACGAGGCACCATGGCACAGCACAGGGAGGATGCGACCAGGGGAGGAGGCGAGGTGGAGGGAGTGCAGGGCTGGGTGATAGGCCATGCCGAGCTGACAGGGGGAAGATGGGGTTGGGGAGGGGGGAAGGTGGTGTGGAAAATACAAGAGTCAATGCACGAGGCACCATGGCACAGCACAGGGAGGATGCGACCAGGGGAGGAGGCGAGGTGGAGGGAGTGCAGGGCTGGGTGATAGGCCATGCCGAGCTGACAGGGGGAAGATGGGGTTGGGGAGGGGGGAAGGTGGTGTGGAAAATACAAGAGTCAATGCACGAGGCACCATGGCACAGCACAGGGAGGATGCGACCAGGGGAGGAGGCGAGGTGGAGGGAGTGCAGGGCTGGGTGATAGGCCATGCCGAGCTGACAGGGGGAAGATGGGGTTGGGGAGGGGGGAAGGTGGTGTGGAAAATACAAGAGTCAATGCACGAGGCACCATGGCACAGCACAGGGAGGATGCGACCAGGGGAGGAGGCGAGGTGGAGGGCGTGCAGGGCGGGGTGATAGGCCATGCCGAGCTGACAGGGGGAAGATGGGGTTGGGGAGGGGGGAAGGTGGTGTGGAAAATACAAGAGTCAATGCACGAGGCACCATGGCACAGCACAGGGAGGATGCGACCAGGGGAGGAGGCGAGGTGGAGGGCGTGCAGGGCGGGGTGATAGGCCATGCCGATCTGACAGAAGGGAGTACAGGGGAGTGATAAGAAGGGAAGGGGCGTTGGTATTCGAGAAACAGGAAAAAGAAGAGGATAGAGAGTTGTCTCAAATGTGGGTAAAAGGCCAGCGCTGGAGACAGCGACTCTGAAAAAAGGGGCAGGTAGGAACGCTGAAGGTAGGGCGCCAACAGGAAGCAATTAATATACAGGAACGGGAACAATTCTGTATTATGGCATACCTCTCTGTATCTCTTGGCGCCCTTCTGTCTCTTCGTCCTCAGCAGCCTAGTCAGCTCTGCCAGGTCAGCATGCCACCCAACTGGCCGCCCATTCACCCACACCTCCCCTCCCCCTCCTCCTCTTCTCACCCCCTCGCCCTCCAGGAGGACCATCCCACGTGTCTGCAGCTCCTTCACCAGCCACCAATCACCAAACGCCACATCACCCTTCACACCCGTCCCATCGTTCTCCTGCATCCCACCACCACCATCCTTGTCCAAAGCCCAAGGATTATCAGCACCATCACCAATATCCTCCAAATTCCATATGTCATCATCACCACCACCACTCTCAACCGCTTTCGCACCACCTCCTTCCTTGTCTTTCCCGTCTTCCTCCTTATCCTCTTCAGCCTCCTCTCCCCCCTCCCCAGAGACGCAGGTAGCAAGGGCTAGGTTGAGGGAGAACCCTATTGCCTCGGACTTGGGGGTTTCCAGCGGGCATATGCGGCCAAAAAAAGTCGCATGGCTGGGATGGGGTGGGGGAGAGCAAGCGTGGGTGGGTAGGCACAGGGAGGAAGGAAGCAGGTAGCAAGAGATAGGTTGAGGGAGAACCCTATTGCCTCGGACTTGGGGGTTTCCAGTGGGCAGATGCGGCCGAAGAACGTGGCATGACTGGGATAAAGGGGGGAGAGCAAGCGGGGGTGGGCAGTCACAGGGAGGAAGCAGGTAGCAAGGGCAAGGTTGAGGGACAACTCTATTGCTTTGGACTTTTGGGGGGGGGTGGGTTGGGTAGGGGGAGGTTGGTTGGAGGAAGGACAAAAAAAAAATCCTTGTACACACCAAATCCCATTGCCTACGGAAGCAGCGTACTCTAGAACCATAAACCTGGTCCACTGAAACTAGGCAACTCACATCCATCCTCCATCCTCCATCCTCCTGAACTGCGACAGTGCCATAGCAGCCGACAGCCGGTTGAGCGGCTCACTCGCATGCAGAAAAAGTCAAAAGAGAAAGCAGCAACCAAGGCGTCTCACACCTTCCTGACAGCAGCGGACGTGGTAGATCGATGGGAAGGCACCTCCATCCTTCTGAGCTGTAACAGTGCCATAGCAGCAGACAGCCACCGGTCCTTGAGTTGAGAGGGTGCATTCAAAAGAAGCAGCTCACATTTTCCTGGCAGCAGCAGAGGTGTTGGATCGATGGGAAGGCACCTCCATCCTTCTGAGCTGCGACAGTGCCATAGCAGCAGCAGACAGCAAGCAGTCTGTGGGAGAGGCGCTTTCAAGCCAGGTAGAGGAGCGAGGAGCAAAGAAACTCACATTTTCCTGGCAGCAGAAGAGGTGTTGGATCGATTAGAAGGCACCTCCATCCTTCTGAGCTGCGACAATGCCATGGCAGCAGACAGCCGGTTCAGCGGCTCGCTCGCATGCAGACTGCTGCTGCTCGTCCCGTACCACCCGCTGCCGAACCTAACCTGGCTGCCGCCGCCGAACCTGCCGCCTTTGGCTCGGGTGTAGGACCGGGGCGGATGCCAGTTTCCGGTTGCTAGTGCCGGCTGGGAACAAGAGGAGTAGAGAACAGGGAGTGAGAGGGTAAGCTAGTGAGCATGTGAGTCAGTGAGCGAGTGAGTGAGTGAGCGAGTGAGCGAGCGAGTGAGTGAGCGAGCGAGTGAGTGAGTAAGTGAGAGTGCGTGAGTGAGTGACAATGAATGATCTGGGTGGCAGTGCAGTCTTTTCAGATACCCCCCTCCCTCCTCCCCTCGCATTGCAAGTACTGCCTGATCTGATCTGAACTGCTCAATGCAAGGAGAGGAGGGTCAGACAGGTGAAACTGAATTCTCTTTCTCCTGTCTGACCTGACCCTCTCTTTGTCTGACTCCCTTTCCAGCTGAACCCCCCCACTTTCTCTCACCTCCAATCGCAGTAAATGTGGTCTTTTGAAGCGCCTCAAAAGCCAGCTGACTTTTGAGTCGACTCAAAAGTCACCTTTCCAGCTGATCCCCCCCACTTTCTCTCATCTCCAATTGTGTGACTTTTGAGAAAGCACGACACTGCAATTCTCAAAAGCGAAATGTGGTATCGGTTCAGAGTGGCAACCATTAGAGGAGTGGCGCCCATTAGAGGAGTGGCGCCCATTAGAGGAGTGGCGCCCATTAGAGGAGTGGCGCCCATTAGAGGAGTGGCGCCCATTAGAGGAGTGGCGCCCATTAGAGGAGTGGCGCCCATTAGAGGAGTGGCGCCCATTAGAGGAGTGGCGCCCATTAGAGGAGTGGCGCCCATTAGAGGAGTGGCGCCCATTAGAGGAGTGGCGCCCATTAGAGGAGTGGCGCCCATTACTCTTCAGACACAACAGCAGCCCCTCCCTCCGCTCCTCTCCCAACGTGCCACTAAATAGTGGTGTGCCCTACCCAGCTGATCGCCCCTGCTGCTGTGTCTCACTCACCTCCAATCGCAGCGAAACACAGTCTTTATTCACAAACGCGCGACACTGCAGCCTCTTAAGATACAACAGCAGTCCCTCCCTCCACTCCTCCCCCACCGCCGCTGCCACTACCACCCCCCTCCCCTCCCTCCCCCACCCCATCCTCGTGCTGCTGACTGTACCACTGCTGACGTGGCTCCTGAGGCACGTGCTGACGTGGCGGGTTATTTCACGCTCGATATTCCAACAAAGGCTGTCCAGCCCTGCAACGACCTGGTCCTCCAGAAGCTTCCCGGAGGTTTCCACTTTGAGGTGCGTCAGGCTCCGAGGGTCATCCTGGGAGGATTAATCGATAAATAACCACTGCGCTTAGTTAAATGGATTCAGTAAATTTATAAAAGGAAAGTTGAAGCAGGTAGATTTAGGCTTTAGGATTTTTTTTGAAGTGGCACAATCAGAAAAAAGACAACTGTGCCTTGGCAGGGAGAGAGGCGGTGCAGAGCCGTTCCTTTCAGAGCAGGGTGTGTAGTGATGGGACTTGGATGAAACAACACTCACCGGAGGGGTGTATCCGAGGCAGGTGGAGTAGAGCCTTCGAGCCATGTGAGCAACAAACTGCGCCTTGGCCGGGAGAGCGGTGGAAACTGTGTAACTGTGCAGGCAACTTCAAGACTCACCGGAGGGGTGTATCCGAGGCAGGTGGAGCAGAGGCGGCGAGCCATGTATGCAACGAACTGCGCCTTGGCGGGGAGAGAGGCAGGCCCCGAGCCAACATGTGGCAGCATGTCATTGGCCAGGAGGTCCCACGCTGAGAGCCTGTTGCTGTGAGTTAGAGACTCGAGAGAAGCAAGAGCAGCCTGGGAGAAACGGAGGGAGAGGGGGGTGGGAGAGAGAGGCGTTCGTGGGAAGAGACATGGGGCAGCCTGCACGTGGTACTGGCAGCATGTCATTGGTCAGAAGGTCCCACGCAGAGAGCCTGTTGCTGTGCGGGAGGGACCCCAAGCGCAGTCTGGGGAGGGTTGGAACTTGGAACGGAGGGTTGGAAGAGAGGGCAGGATGGAAGGTCGGAAGGAAGGTTTGAGGCCTGCCCGAGAGCGGCAAATGCAGCCTGTGGGTGGTGGGGGTTTGAAAGAGAGTCAGAAGGAAGGGTGCGGCGGAAGGCTAGAGGTCCCCAAGGGGACTCGTAAGGGGCTGTAACCCTCTGAGGATGGCAAGAGAAGCCTAGGAGGGAAGAGGGGAGAGGCGTGGGAGGGTAGGTTAGGACGGAAGGTACGAGGAAGGGTCAAAAGGGAGGTTTGCTTTACATGTGAATCGCAGCCGCGGCTTTTTGGATCGACTAGATTCGATCACTTTACCTGCTGGGTGCTACTCCGGTTCTCTTCACAGGTGTGTCGCAGCAGCTGCAGCATCTCCTGCTGCTGCTTCAACAGTGCATGTCCTTCCTCCCCTCCTTCCATCCCTCCTTCCATCTCTCCTACCGTCCCTCCTTCCGTTTCACCTCCTTTCCCTCCCTTTTCCCCACCGCCACCACCAGCACCACCAGCGGCTGCTGCACCAGCATCTTCATCATCACTATCATCTATTACTATAACATTCGCTCCCCTTTTCTGCCTCTTCGCCCTAAACCACACACGCCCATCCCCTTCCTCCTCTCCCTCCTCCTGTCCCTCCTCCTCTCCCTCCCTTCCCTCCTCCTCTTCCCCTAATCCCGTTTCTCTCCCCATCCCTCTCCCCTCATTACCCGTCCCCTTCACTCCGCTCTCTCCCCCTCTCCCCACCATGCCCTCACTTTCTTTCAACGGACGGCCAAGTATCATTTCAAAGATTTCTTTATCTGACCTAACTCCTAGAGCGCGGAGGAAGAGGAAGAGATTGACCGGGCAGCTGAAACACGACAGATGGATTTGAAGGATACGGGGAGTGCTTGCGCTGGTTGCTGATGTGGCAGCTGCAGGCGCTGAGCTGGCATGAGGTGGAACAAGAGCTGAACAGGTCATCCTCATCATCCTGCAATCATTTGGATAAATAAAAGTGGATGATGAGTGGAATTTGCCGTACCATACGTATGGTGGGGTAAGTGAGATACAAGATAGATAGGCAGGAACACGAAAATGACGATTGTTTGCTATGCTTTCCAGTGCAAGGTAGGAGAAGAGAAGGCAGATGGGGAAAGACACACACACACAGACATACATATATCTTGCCCGCGGCCCTGCCTTGAGCCCTCCCATATCATCCTCAGTAGAAACAACAGATACTGTCCACTCGTCTCTCCACACTCTCACACACATGCACACCTTGACCTTCCCAGATTAGACACACACAGACAGACATACATATATCTTGCCCGCGGCCCTGCCTTGAGCCCTCCCATATCATCCTCAGTAGAAACAACAGATACTGTCCACTCGTCTCTCCACACTCTCACACACATGCACACCTTGACCTTCCCAGATTAGACACACACAGACAGACATACATATATCTTGCCCGCGGCCCTGCCTTGAGCCCTCCCATATCATCCTCAGTAGAAACAACAGATACTGTCCACTCGTCTCTCCACACTCTCACACACATGCACACCTTGACCTTCCCAGATTAGACACACACACAGACAGACATACATATATCTTGCCCGCGGCCCTGCCTTGAACCCTCCCATATCATCCTCAGTAGAAACAACAGATACTGTCCACTCGTCCCTCCACACTCCCTCCCCCTCTGCTGCCCAGCCGCCCATGGAAGCAGCTCTGGCAGCAGCAGAAGCGGAAAGGGGAGGTGCGGGCTCGACTAGGATGGTGTTGGGTGCTCGCACGAGCTGGGGAATGACTACCTGCAGGAGAACACACACAGAGAGTGGGGATGAAATGGTGGGAGACAGAACAAGGCCGGACAGGTTAAGGTGGAGACTCGACTAAGATGGTGCCGCCTCCGCCGTCCCGCCAGCCATCGAAGCAGCTCTGGCAGCAGCAGAGGCCGAAAGGGGCGGTGCAGGCTCGACGAGGATGGTGTTGGGTGCTCGCACGAGCTGTGGAATAACCACCTGTGGGGTTCCAAACAAACAGGAAGAGGGTTGCAAAGGGAAGAGGGCAGGGAAAAGGGAAGAAGGAGGCAGAACAGGCTCGACCAAGATGGTGTTGGGTGCTCTCATGATTTGGAAAAAGACCACCTGTATGTTCAATCCCACACCTTGTCCATTCCATTCCTTGTCCGTCCATCCCTCACCTTCTCCATCCCCTTCACAATGAAGTAGCCCCCTCGGTCCTTGGGGCACTCCTCCTTGTGCCACGTGTCCTCTTCTGGTAGGCCGTTGAGATGGCACGCATCGGATTTCAGCATCACGGGGACCGACCCCAGATGCACCTTTCTCTCCACCCACTCCCTCACCACCCTCTCCTCCAGCAACTCCTCTCCACCACCCTCCTCCTCCTTCTCCCCCTCCCCCCCCCCCCTCCTCCTCCTCCCCTTCCTCCTTCTTCACCTTAACCTTCTCCTTCGCTCCTGCTTTTCTCCAAGTCCACTGCAGGCCTTCATATCCCAGACCAACATCAACATCCGCATCACCAGCACCACCACCAGCACCACCATCAGCAGCACCATCAGCATCACCATCAGCATCAGCACCTGCAGTACCAGCAGCAGCGCTACCAGCAGCAGAACCATCCTCATCACCCTCGTCTTCCCACCATACGGAGCGTTTGCCAGTCTTGAGAGACCCTCTCCCCCTCTGTTCCGCCTGCTTCCTCCTCCTCTGCTCTCTCCTCTGCTGTTTTTGCTGCCTCAAGGCCGCCTCTAGTATGGCCTCTTTGGAGGGCTGCTCATACCGACCGCGCTCCACCGTTTCAAACACCTGTGGGGGGAGGGGGAGAAAATACATAGAAGCACGTAAAAGGGATTACAAGAGTATGCGTCTGCTGCTATCAAAGCCCCCCCTCTGCGAGGAGAATGTACAAGAGTCACCTTGAAAGCTCTTTCTTGTGAACAATCACTAAGGGCTTTCAAGGATTCTGCTCTTTGGTGTTAGAGGTCACATGCTGTCAGGTGCTGACCCCCCAGGATGACTGGGAAACTGGAGAGCCAGGCAAAGAAAACACTGAAACAGTAACCCAATTCGAGCTCCCTGCAACCCGGAGCCTACCTGGCTGCGCCCTGAACCGCACCGCACCACTTTCTCCACCCTCCTCACCTGGATGCGCACCGATCCTCACAGATCCCCACTGTACGTCCGATGCTCAAATTCTCAAAACCCTCTGCACCTCCCTAACAACCCCCCCAACCGCATTGCACCGTGTTCTCCTCACCTGAATGCGCACCGATCCCCACAGATCCCCACTGTACGTCCGATGCTCACGCCGCGCCTGGCTAGGAAACATCGGGGAAGATTCCCCCACATTCCCCACCCCAGGGTGCGAAAACCTGTGCCCTGACAGGCTGTCAGATGAAACTCTGTCTGAAGGTTTCCTGTCAGGATGCAACCCCCCTACTCCCTCCTCCGCTTCCTTCTCCTTCCCTTTCCTTCCGCACTTCTTCTTATCTTTCCTCCGCTTCCTCCCGATCTTCCCTCCCCTATCCCCATCCTCGTCATCCTCCTCTTCCTCTTCCGCCATCTTGACATCCACATCCTCGTTATAATCTGCTCCGTTACCAGCTAGCGAGCTCGTCACTGGTGCAGCAGCAGCAGCAGTATCACCCAGATTTACTATCCCAAAAGGATGAACAAGTGGGCGAGTGAAATTGGAGTCTTGGAGGAAGATCCGCACGCCCACGCCCACCACCCGAGATGTGACAGTATCGAGATTGTGATTGCGCGGGTTGGCAGGGGTGATTGTGTCACTGACCTTCAAAGGAATGTGTACCTGCAGGGAGCGGGAAGGAGGAGGAGTGGAGGAAGGGGGAGGGGGTGTTGAAGCAGCAGGACAGAGGATCAAAAGGGACAGACGGAAGTAGCTAGCAGGCGGACTGAAAATGGGTTGGCAGGGGTTGGTTTGGAGTGTGTTGCTGACCCTCAAAGGAAGCAATAGAGGAGCTACGGAAAGATGTACGGACCTGTTTTCAGAAAGATCAAAAGTGATCATATGAGAAGACGGCTGAGCCCGATGCTCAGGTAAACCGGCCTGTGGCCAGCCACGATGCGACTGAACACTGGGTGTGGGTGCTAACCTGCCTGTGGCCCCCACTCTCAGCGAGCGCAGGAAGCAATCTAAGGGTGACTTGTCGCGCAGTGACTGACTGCTGAGTCAACTGAAAAAGGCTCACCTGAATAGGTCTGTGGCCAGCCACAATGCGAGGGAGGCGGCGCAGGAAGCGGTTCAAGGAGCGCAGGTGGTGGGACACCTCTAACCTGGACACTCTGCCTCTCACTGCCGTGTGGTGTAATAATCAACACTGAGTCAACTAGACGAGGACTCACCTGAACGGGTCTGTGGCCAGCCACGATGCGAGGCATTCGGCGCAGGAAGCGAATAAAGGAGCACAGGTGGTGGGACACTAGACCGCTCCTGACTGCATTGAATAGCGAGTCAATAATCAATTTATAAGACTCACCTGAACTGGCCTGTGGCCAGTCACGATGCGAGGGAGGCGGCGCAGGAAGCGACTGAGAAGAGTGGATGTGGTGGGATACCAGACTGCGCCCTTTGACTGCGTTGACTGATAGGTCAACGCAGGGACTCACCTGAACTGGCCTGTGGCCAGCCACGATGCGAGGGAGGCGGCGCAGGAAGCGATTAAAGGAGTGCAAGTGGTGGGACACCAAACCGCTCCCTTTGACTGCAGCTATCGCCACGTCTTGAAACGACAAGACGGCTGGTGGCTTCTCCTGCTGCTGCTGCCGCTGCGGCAAGGAAAATTCTGGTGCTGGTGCTGGTGCTGGTGCTGCTGGTGATGCTTCTGCCTCTCCCTCCGCCTCCGCCTCGTCCCCCTGCCCCTGCTGCATCTCTTGCTCTTCCTGAACCGCTTCTTGCGTCGCCATCTCCCCTTTGCTGAGTCTCAGTCCTTTCTGAAAATTTTCTTAGCTGGAGTTTGCTTCAGAGAGCTGGGTTAGATATGTGATGGGAAATACGAACTTGAGTTTAGCAAATTTTCCGGTATCTGAACGGAACTAATCTCAGCCACTGATCGAAAATGTGCAAGCGAATCTAGAAAAGTAATATTCTCTCTGGAAGAAGCACATCAGAGGGAGAACTTCGTATGGAAATTAGATAAAATGGCTCCGAAAGCAGTGCTGAAAATGGCGCTAAAATGGGTTTGAGGATGATGTGATGGCCTGACTTCGATGCGGTTTGGTGAGATGCTGTGCGTGGAAAATCGGTTTGGCCACAAACCTTATTATTGTGAGGTCACGCATCATTTGGACAGGAAATTGTCAGCTATCACGGTCTTGATATTCTCGTGGGAGGTTTGCTGCATGCGGGCGATGGCATACGGCTGTTACACATTGTGATAAATTGACCGTGCGAGAAGTTGCTGCGACGTCGTATTGCACTGAAAGACCTCGCCTCACGCTGGCGAAAGGCTGTTCGTAACCTCAAAAAGATTCCTTATTCCACTTCTACGAGGTTCATCTGGTTTGGACCAGCTGTGTGTCCGTACCCCCCACGGGGTTCCATTGGACCAACTGGTGTCGGTGCTGGGAAGATCCGAAGAATGCCCCCAGTTGTAACCCGCATCCCATCAAATTGATTCTCCACACGATGCAGGCGAAGAAGCGCGAACACTCATTACGATTCGCGAGAGGTTTCGCGCACCACAACGGGTCAACCCTTTTCCGGTTTCTAGATGACAAATAACCGATCCCAAGGTTGTCAAATGGTTCAAAACTGATCCCAAGGTTGCCTGGACTAATTTACCACTCTCGAGGTTAGCATTCCCAAGGTTAGCTTTCCCGCCTACTCCACTCTCATTGTCAGGATACTCGTCTCCTCTCAAATACCAGGTAGTGTTGCTAACACAACAGGCTCATCATCTGAGTGGGCTCATTGTTATGTTCCTATTAGTAAAATAACTTTTTATCAACTCGGGTGTGCACGACTCGACTGGATCATCGGTACTTTACCTAAACTTTAGGCAGTGTCAGCAATAGCGGAATCTAGATCCGTGCATGGCCGCCGCGCCGTCCGGCGGGACCGGCGGAGGCGCAGAGGTGGTCCAGTACGACGCGGGCACGGGCATTTACACCGTTAAGAACAAGCCGTGGCCAGGTGCGTGGCGGTTTCTTAGGAGACTTACAAGGCGGTCCGGCACGAAGCGGCCAATGTATTCGACGCGATAACACGACGCGGTCTTCTAGAATTCTCGAAAGTCGGTCCACTACGGCTCGCGAACACAGGAATATGCGACGCGAACACTGGAATATGCGACGTGAACACAGGAATATGCGACGCGACCAAAGGATTATGCGAGGCGAACACATGAATAATCGATGCGAACACAGGAATATGCGACGCGAACACAGGAATATGCGACGAGAGCAAGCCCATAAACCGTCAACAACAAACGCTAGTCACGCTGTGTCATAACGTAGCTTCTTCCGAGGCGACTCAAAACTTGTTACAGTACAAGCTGTATGCAAGCTGCGCCCTAGCGTGAGCTTCTTTTCGATCATTCCATCGATGTGCGTGTCGTGTCACTGAAAATAAGACTGCCGTGTGGTCTTCTTAGTCGCCATTTGGTATGTTCCCTACCTTCCTTTGGTTTCAATCTCATTCGGTTTCAATCTCATTCTCGGTCTTCCTATGACCCTCGCTTACCCACCGTTCGTTTTCACGGTCACCAATCCGTACAATGTCTAATTTCACTCGTCTCGACTTGGAAACCACAGTTCTCTTATCTTATCACATAAAAATCCACCTCTCCCTGCTCCCTCCTCTACCTTCCCTGTCCCGGCCCTGGCCACATTGCAACAGTGGGATCTCGCTACACGGTGCACTGTCTGATTGGCTCTGGCTCATATGGGGATGTCTGCAAGGCCACTGACAATGAGACGGGCGAAACCGTTGCCCTCAAGGTGAGGAGTTCTGAGTCACTCAGCCAGCTGTAACTTTGTGCATGTACTACCTTGTTTTTTTTCCTGGGCCCTTTTTACCCTGTCGAGGTTCAAGGCAATAGTGCTTCTGCGTGGTCATTCCAAATATAGCCACCCTCTTGTTTATCCAATTTCCCTGTTGTGTGTGTGTATGTATATGTGTGCGTGTGCCTGCCTGCCTGTGTTGTGATGCAAGCAGCGCATTGCGGATGTGCTGTGCTGCCCCATGCTGGCCAAGAGAGTGCTTCGAGAGGTCTGCATCATGCGCCGCCTTTCTCACCCATACGTCATCCGATGTGAGTCCAAGGCAGATGAGAGAAGAAGGCAAATGTGAGAAGCAGGCAGATGTGAGAATAGCAGGCACGCATTCTTATTGTAATCACTGGACGCACAAGAGAGTGCTCCGAGAGGGTCTGCATCATGCGTCGCCTCTCACACCCATACCAACGTCATCCAATGTGAGAAGAACGATGCACAAATATGTGTTTCACATCCGTCGTCCACTTTCCTTCACTCCCGCCTGCCGTTCGTCTCCCAGTCCCTTCGTCACCCTCCTCTGCACGAACCCTTCCCCATCCCCCCTCTCCCCGTCTTCTCTTCCCCTCTCTCCCCATCTTCTCTCCCATCCCCCCTCTCCCCCCTCCCAGTGGCGGACGTGTTTACTCGCAAGTCCACAGAGGTGCCAGGGGGATTCGACCTTTACATCGCCACAGAATACGCTTCAGGGTAAGCCCTTCACACTTCCAGTATGCCTCAGGGTAAGCTCCACGGTGCAGAGGAGCCCTGTGATGAATTCTCAAGTGACTCGTGAAACGCCTTAAAAGGTGGGTTTGACCTGTATGGGACGGGATGCCTCATGGTAGCCCTGTGCCTGTGGTAAGCCCTGGCGTGATTCAGTTCCCTCCCTGAACCCCCTGTGCCTCTCTTTCCCCCCCGTCCCTTTCCCCTCCCTCTCCCTTTCCTTTCCTCTCCATCTCTCCCAACCCCCCTCAGTGGCGACCTGTATCGGTTCAAGCAGCCGCTAACACCAGAGGACGTGAGGCGACTCATATGGCAGCTGCTGGTGGCAACCCGGTATCTGCACTCCTGCCACGTCTGGCACAGGTGGGCGGGTGTGTCTGAGTGCGTGAGGCCTCCCAGAGTAGAGCTATCACGGATATTGGTTCAAGCAGAGCAGCCACTAACACCAGAGGACGTGAGGCGGCTGATATGGCAGCTGCTGGTGGCAACCCGCTACCTGCACTCCTGCCACGTCTGGCACAGGTGGGTGTGTTTAGGGTGTTTCTGAGTGGGTGAGGCATTCCCGAGTAGAGCTCTCAAAGGTATCGCTTTAAGCAGAGCAGCCGCTAACACCAGAGGATGTGAGGCGGCTGATATGGCAGCTGCTGGTGGCAACCCGCTACCTGCACTCCTGCCACGTTTGGCACAGGTGGGTGTATTTAGGGTGTGTCTGAGTGGGTGAGACCTCTATAATAGAGCTCTCAAAGATATTGGTTCAAGCAGAGCAGCCACTAACACCAGAGGACGTGAGACGACTGATATGGCAGCTTCTGGTGGCAACCCGCTATCTGCACTCTTGCCACGTTTGGCACATTGAGTCATCCAAAAAAGCATGTGCACATGTGGTGGACGTGAGGCGGCTGATATGGCAGCTGCTGCTGGCAACCCGCTACCTGCACTCCTGCCACGTCTGGCACAGGTGGGTGGGATGCGTTTTCTGAAGTAGATATACTGTTAGTCACCCGTCAGCCATCCCCAACTCCCCCCCCAGCTCTCACGTCTGATGCCCCTAACGCCCGTCCTTCACTCCCCCGCTTTCCGTCTTCCTCTGTTCCCTCAGAGACATCAAATCAGAGAACACGCTGCTCCATGCCAACACCACACTCAAACTCTGTGACTTCGGCCTCTCAAGGTCCGCCCTTGGGGTGAGTGAGTCCTCCTGCCTCCCCGATGGTCACTTGCTCCACTCCTGCCAGTCACTCCTCCACTTCCGCTCCTGCACGCCAACACCACACTCAAGCTCTGTGACTTTGGCCTCTATAGGTCCGCCCTTGGGGTGAGTCCGTCCTTCCTGTTCTCTTCCTTGCCCTCCCCTGTAACGAACATGTGACCCAACCATTCCTGCTTTTCAGACGCCCCCTTCTTCTTTCACCATCTCTCCCCCACCCCATCTCTCCCCGTTTCCCATTCTCTTCCCTTCTTCCTCATCGTTTTCCACACTCTCGCTTATTTAATCCAATGCTTTTGCACACTTGCAGTCAGGGCAGCCGACGCAGCCGCGCAGTGCGCCGGACGAGAAGGGGGCAGCGGCGGGGAAGAAGCAGCACGTGCTGCAGAGGCAGTTCACCAAGATGGTCGTCACCCCCAGCTATAGAGCTCCTGAAGTGGTTATGTCTCGAGGCCAGTACACATCGGCCATAGACATGTGAGTTCCGTTTGATGCTGGTTGAGGCCTGAGGGTGCCTTCGCATGCAAGATGGTCGTCACCCCCGGCTATAGAGCTCCTGAAGTGGTCATGTCTCGAGGCCAGTACACCTCTGCCATAGACATGTGAGTTGCGTTCGATGCTGGTTGAGGCCTGAGGGTGCCTTCGCATGCAAGATGGTCGTCACCCCCGGCTATAGAGCTCCTGAAGTGGTCATGTCTCGAGGCCAGTGCACCTCTGCCATTGACATGTGAGTTGCGTTCGATGCTGGTTGAGGCCTGAGGGTGCCTTCGCATGCAAGATGGTCGTCACCCCCGGCTATAGAGCTCCTGAAGTGGTCATGTCTCGAGGCCAGTACACCTCTGCCATTGACATGTGAGTTCGCTTTGCGGTCTCCTCCCGCCTCCTCTTTCTTCCTTTCTTCCTTTCTTCCTTCTTTTTTTCTTCCTTTCTTCCTTTCTTCCTTTCTTCCTTTCTTCCTTTCTTCCTTTCTTCCTTTCTTCCTTTCTTCCTTTCTTCCTTTCTTCCTTTCTTCCTTTCTTCCTTTCTTCCTTTCTTCCTTTCTTCCTTTCTTCCTTTCTTCCTTTCTTCCTTTCTTCCTTTCTTCCTTTCTTCCTTTCTTCCTTTCTTCCTTTCTTCCTTTCTTCCTTTCTTCCTTTCTTCCTTTCTTCCTTTCTTCCTTTCTTCCTTTCTTCCTTTCTTCCTTTCTTCCTTTCTTCCTTTCTTCCTTTCTTCCTTTCTTCCTTTCTTCCTTTCTCCCCTCCCCGTGTTCTCTTCTCCCCCCCTCTCTTTCTCCCCACCCTTTCCCGTTGCTCACAATTCATCATCTCTCACAATTCACCATATTGATTGGAGGTGCTTCACCACTTACTCATCTCTCTTTTTTTCTTCTCTCTTTACTTCCACTCCCTCCCCTCCCCTATCCCCACACCACTGCACCATTCATCCCTCCCTGCATTCACTGGGGCTCCACTCACCTGCCTCGCGCGTGCACAACAAACCTCTCCTTATCCCGATTCAGCTGGTCGCTCGGCTGTATATTCTGGGTAAGCTTTTCTGCCTGAGAGAATGCAGAACTCTTTTTCTCCAGTGAGCACTAGAAGTGCTCAGTAGATTCCTTCAGACGTCTACAGAGGCTCGTCAAAGCACTATTCCCCCCTTCCTCTCACTTTCCCTAGGAACAAACCAAGGCCATTCTTCTTCCTCCTTCCCATCACCTTCACCTCCTCCTACTCCCCCCTTCCCTTCCTCAGGAACTTCTAATGCGAGCCATGCGCCCCCATCGCCCAGGGCCCCCATCAAGACCGCTCTTTGGCATCAGGTGGGCCTCTGTTGCCATCAGGTGAACCTCTGTTGCCATCAGGTGAACCTCTGTTGCCATCAGGTGAACCTCTCTGTTGCCATCAGGTGAACCTCTCTGTTGCCATCAGGTGAACCTCTGTTGCCATCAGGTCAATTTCGGTTGCCATCAGGTGGGTATCTGTTGCCATCAGGTGAGCGTCTGTTGGCATCAGGTGAACCTGTGTGAGGCAGCAAGTTGCATCTTGCCGACCACCAGGTTGTGAAAAACAATGTCATCAGTGCTTCTACGTTGCTGTTTTCCCTCTCTATCGGTGATTCTCCCGTCAATCCCCTCCCTTGATATCCAGAGGCCGGTCAATCGCCTCAGAGCAGAGAGAGGAAAAAAGCATGTGACACTTGTTCTCTCTTTCGACTCCTCCCCAACCTGCCCCCTGCATCACAGGGGCGAGCCTGTGACCCCAGGAACAGGGGAGAAGTACGTGGAGGACAAACGACAATGAGTCTCTCTTAGCACTTCTATACCTCGGAGTCTGTTCGATTCTCGTACTCCCGTCCCTGCCTTTTTACACACAGGGGCGAGCCAGTCACGCCAGAGACAGGCGAGAAGTATGTAGACGACAACGAGTCGCCACTGGCTGATCAACTCGATGTGATATTCGATGTCATCGGCACGCCCTGCTGGAAGGACATTGAGAGCGTTCCCAGCGATGCCTGGCGGGCGTTCCTCAAACGGCTGCCCGGGCGGGCAGGCAACCTGGCCAATCAGATGGCGCCATGTGGCGACCCCGAGGCTGCGGATCTGCTCCATCGCATGCTGGCATTTGATCCGTCCAGGCGGTGCACTGCTGAGGAAGCTCTCGCTCACACTTATGTAAGTGCCACTGTGTCTGGATTATTTTTTTGTGTTTTTATTTTTTTTTCTTAAGGCTGGAAATCTTCTCCAATCTTTCTAACAATTGACTCAAAAGCTGTCTTGCCTTTGACCTTCCTCTCCCTCCACCCCTCCTCCCACCACGTCTCCATCTGACTCTCCACCCCCCCCAGTTTCGCAGTCTTGAGAAGCCCATGGGGTTGCCGCCCATGGAGGCAGAGGACTGTTCATTCAACTCATATGCCTGGTTCGTCAGACCCTTCTTCTGTTCCTCCCTTCACCCCCACCCCTGCCAGTTCCGCAGCCTTGAGAAGCCCATGGAGTTGCCACCCATGGAGGCAGAGGAAACGCCTGTGTCTCTACCTCAGGACCACCACTTCTGGCAGATCACCGATCCCGCTATCGCCCTGGGACTACTGGAGGTGCGTATGAGAGTGTGACCTGTGTGTTATATGAATGAGTGGGTGACTTTGTGGGCAACGTGTGTCAGAGGAAACGCCTGTGTCTCTGCCGCAGGACCACCACTTCTGGCAGATCACTGACCCTGCTATCGCCCTGGGACTACTGGAGGTGTGTTTCTGAGAGAGTGTGTGAGTGTGAGTGAGAGTGAGAGTGTGAGCATGTGCATGTCTCTGCCGCAGGACTACAACATGTGGCAAATTACCAACCCTGCTATCGCGCTCAAGTTGCTGGAGGTGCGTGTGAGTTTACGAGTGAGTGTGACTGTGTGTGATTGTGACTGTGTGAGGCTTTACAGTAAGTATTGTGTCTCTGCCGCTGGACCACCACTTTTGGCAGATCACAGTCCCTGCCATCGCT